TTTTTTTTTTTTTTTTTTTTTTTTTTTTTTTATGAAAGCACTTTTAGAATAAAAAGTTGTGTGGTACATTGGTTTAGTTTGGAATGATGTTATTTTCACTACTTTAGTTTTAAATTGTTTATTATTTCTAACATGTCTTCCTCTCCTCTTTTTCTCCTTTCTACTTTCATTTATTTACAAATTGACTTCATTTTACCATTTCCTAAAAAAATATATATTTTGGCCATAAATGTGGGAAGTCCTTGATATTTTTTCTAGGAATTTACTAAAGAATGTTTATGCAAGAATGCATCATTCGTTTTTGTGAGTTGTATGATCGTGGATATTTTATTAGCACCCAATTCATTCGAATGATATTATTCCAACAACTTTTAAACAAATTCCTATTTTTGGAAAAAGTGAGAGTTGTCCAAAATTCTATTTTGATGCTTTGAGTAAAGCAATTGGCAATCTTAAGAACTTTTTATCCAAATCATTAGCCAAAAATCAGGAGCAAACAGAGAATTTTGGAGAAAACATGGTCCACGTTAAACCTCTTTCTTGATTCAATGAAATCTCAATTTCAAGACTAATACAAGTGAACAGGCTCTAATTAAATTTGTAATAAGTGTAATAGAGTTTCTTTTATAGAATATCAATAAACTCTTTTTTGACATACTAATTAAAATGTTAAATTTTTATTAATATTAAGTATTGAAATTAAAAATAATATTTAAAACTCTCTTTACCTTATTCATCACTAGGAATGATCGTATTTACTTAATTTTGAATTATTTGAGGTAGATATGAACTCTTTTTGGATTTAATAATTATAGGTTTAAGATTTAGTTAACCCAAGTATTTTTATTTGCTCAAAGCTTGAGAGGTCAAAATTTTTTAATTAATTAACTAAATGACTCCCAAAAAAAATAATTTTTTTGCTAATGATTAAAGTTAAATATTTTGGCTAATGATTTTCATATTAATAATTGAATTAAGTATTAATTTCAAATTTTAGTTTTCTTACCAAAATTTTGTCTTTTTTTCGTTAGTACAAACCATTAAATTAAACAAAATTTGTTGGTCCTTTTTTTGATAACTAAATTGAAATACTTCAATTAACTAAACATTTAAGTGAATTAATCAAGCTAAAAAAATTAGTTTTAAACATCAAGTAATTTGGAAGCAATCAAAATATGTATGTGGTCTTCAAAATATCTCTTTTTAGCTATATGATAGATGAAATTACGAACTTGTGCCATTCACTTTGCTCAAAGTGAGAAAAATGGATTTTTGATGACACTCACTATTTTCAAGCATAGGATTTGGTTGTGAGTCGATGTAAGAGCATTGATTAAATAAATGATGAGATGCACTACAGTTAGACAATTGTCATGGAATTATGGGTCATTCTTGCATTAAAAGTTTGTACATGGTTGCCTTGGAAGGACATCATGGACTTCTCACAATTAGGGTCAAAATGTTAATTTGTTAATCAAAATAAAAAGAGAAAAATTAAACTTAGGAGAGAAAGAGAATGCATAGCAACAACTAATTAAAGCACAAAAAAACTAAATTACTAGAAGGAAGCATGATGCCATCATAGAAGCATGAAAATGTGAGAAAGAATTAAAGGTTGTGCAATCAAGAAAGTATAAAACTACACTCAAGGAAGTTAGGAAAATGACTTTGGAGCATAGTAAATCAAACTAAATTAAGCTAGGTGGTAATGTAGAATTAAGAACTACTTGAGAAAGTGTAAAGCTAGAAGATTGTAAAGATTATTGCGAAAACTAATGGTGCATTTGGGATTGTTATGAAGTACTGTGGCTGTAACTGTAGTTGTGGTTGTAACTGTGACTGTGGTGAATTCTGCTGTGATGTAACTGCATGTGGTTAAAAGTTATTTTGGTGTTTAATTATTTATTTCTTAAGACTATTATAAATGAATATATAATTATTAAAATAGATAATATTTTTCTATTTTTTAATAATTTAGGTTTTTAGATTTGTTATTATTATTAAAATATTATAAATTATGATGTAATTAAATTATATGAAATTGAGTTTTAATAGGTAATTTTGTAATTATGTTAAATAGTAAGTGTTTTCCATAAAAGTTACAATAAAAATGCTCCAAAATAAGACTTCTGGCCTTATATATGGCTTTCTGTAGCTCTTAGAAAAAGCAATTTGAAAAAAATAATTATTAAAAACACATATATCTAAAAGCACTATATGGCTATATGGAAAGCTCTTAACCAGAATCCCAAACGCATTCTAAATTGTAGATGGTTAGGGCAAGTTTAAGATGGGTAGCCCCATCTTGTTTAGTTTCAACTTTATGTATTTATAATGCAAAATTTTCCTTGATAGCATGTTGGAAATCCTTAAAAACATTCTAAAATTCTATAACAACTAAACCATTTTACTGATGTGGCAACCTAGACCAAATCAATCAATAAAATCTTGACAAAATTTCTTTGCCTTTAAAAGAACAAAAAAAAAAAAAAAGACCAAATCTTGAGAAAAATCAACCAGTTCCAAAAACTAAACTTGATTAAGTTGAATGAAACACGAAATGACAGTGATAAGCAACACCATATGTGCATGTCTTATACTTCTTCAAAATTAAGTGAATTGCTCCTTATAATATTGTTTCCTCCAAAATACTCTCCTTTCAGCCACTCATGGCAAAAGTTGCTTATGCGTGACACTTGTTTAGCTCAAAGCAAGAAAGAAGGATTTCTAATGATCCTCACTTGTTCTAAGTGCAGGAATTTGTTTAAAAGTCAATAGAAGAACACAATTTGATTGAAAGATTGTGTCCATAATATCTTGACCAGCCAATTGTGGCAGAAATTGGGGTGCATTCATTCATAAAGGTTTACAAATAATTGTCTTGGAAGAATATCAGGGGCTTCCCACATTTAAGGCCACAATAAATTTAGTTTGTTAAGCAAAATAAGTAGAAATAAGAAAAGGAGAGAATGAGTTCGTGGCAGAAGTAAAAGATGCTCTGAGGCTAAAGTAACATAAGGACATAAAACTAAAGAACATGATAGAAATCTTAAAATGCTACTAAAATTAAAATTAGAGTATTGGCAGAAATGTAAAAAATTAGTTATTGATAGAAATAAAATGAATTTAAGATCTTTACTTGAACTCTTAAGAAAAATTACAACTACATGTTAAAACATATAGTAAAAATTAAAGTTAGACAATTGGACAACAATATAAATTTTTGACAGAAATGTGAAGAGTGCTTGTAGAAAAAAACCAACTATATTAAATTTAATTGCTAGAGCTAATTTAACCAAAAGCAACAAAAACAAAGAATCCATTGAGGGAGTTAAATCTCTTCTACACTAAAAAGAAAGTTGTAGAGTCGTTGTAGGAGCTATCTATGAACTAAATAAGTGTTGAGCTAAGACATATTGAAATGGAGATGTTATTAAGAAGTGCACGATTTTTGAAAAATGTGTTAAAGTGTTGTATTTTGCGAGCCTCCATAATTGAAACTGATTGCTTGAGATCATAATTGATCTTGATTTTATCTAAGTCCCTTATTATTGTGTTTGACCAAATTAAAAGAATCTTAACTGTTTTAAATCCTTCTTGGTAAAACAAATTTTTGTCACATGTCATTTAGTTGTCAGAAACAAAATTTTGGTTGTTGGAAACCTCTAGAATCAAGCTTGTTGTAATTGTTGCTGATTTTTCTCCACTAAATTGAAGAATTCTACACCATATCAACAAACTCTCTACTTTTTGTGCAACTTCAGCTTCTCCCTTTTGTTTCTGCCATGTGGTAGAAATTCATTACACTATAATTTCTGCTTATTGTGGATTACATCACATCAAATCATGGTTATTGATCATCTTTTAAATTCTTAATTGTATGAAAAAATTGTGGCCATTGGATCTCCATTGGAGACACATGGCATCATCAAGAAAATTGTTGAATGTGGTATAACAGATATTCTTCATAACTATTTCCAATTAACTCACTAAATAGAGAGATTTAATCTTTAAATGAGGTTTGCTAACATGAAAATTATATGTGGTAGCCACCTATTGTGCAAAACTCCAAGAGAAAGCAAGTGTTGATTATAAGATAACAAGATAATTCTTGGTTAACTACCTATCTACTGAGGATGGGGAAGCAAGTGTATAATATTAGCAAATTCAATGAGATAACTTGCTTTAATTAGGTGATGCGCAAAATAATAGTTAGTTATTAAAACAATAGGACATTATTGTCTTTTAATCAGTGCATAAAAAAGGGTGTAAACATTGTTCTCTCTCATGATGGACGTTGTTTTTTTAGTAGTAAGAAAAGA